GCCTTACTCTGTGTAAAACCGTACCCCAAAAGTGCATTCGACAGTTTTGCGAACCAACATCGTGGAGCTTGTTTCAAACCATACAGCGACTTACGCAAACGACATACCATACCCTTCTTAGAAGCACCAAAACCTTGAGGTACCCTCATAAAGACCTCTTCATCCAAATCTCCATGAAGAAACGCATTGTGCACATCCATCTGATGTAGCTCCCAATTTTTCCCAGCGGCAACTTGAAGAACCAATCAAACTGTGATCATCTTTGCTACAGGAGCAAATGTATCAGAATAATCAATCCCTTCTTTTTGACGATTGCCACATGCCATGAGTCGCGCCTTATACCTTTCAATGGAGCCATCTGCATTATACTTAATTGTATAAACCCATTTACACTCAATCACATGCTTACCTGGTGGTAATTGTTCAATCAACCATGTTTGATTTCGTTCTTGGGCCTCAATCTCGAGTCTCATAGCTTCTCTCCATCGCGGATCCTTCATGGCTTCAGCAAAACTTTTCGGCACAACTCCTTCAGTTATACTACACAGAAATGCCTTGTGTGACACAGAGAACCTTTCACAATTCACATAATTCTCAATACCATAATCATTACTCAACTCCTGACTCACAGTGGAAGTATTCATTGTAAATGTCGTATTGCACACATAGTCGCATAGCTTGACAGAAGATTCTTTCTTTCTCATTCCTCGTCCCAAAGTTTCTGTTGATGCAGGCTGTTGCACAGTTTCAGCCTGTGTTACCGATGCAGGTTATGTTACTAAAGCAGGCTGCACATTCTCAGACTGTGTAACCGATGCAGGTTCTGTCACTAAAGCAGGTTGCACAATCTCAGACTGTGTAACCGATGTAGGTTCAGTTTGTGGCGTTGTAATTCCTAAGATATCGCGTATTTCGTTTCCTATAGTCTGTCTTTCTTCTTCTGCAACCTTGTCTGACACAACCTGAGTCTGTGTCATTGTATCTCTTGTGAGAGGTTGTATAATTTCCCTTGTCAAGGCAGGTTCAATATCGTCAACATATAACCTCATTTGATTAGAATTAGAAGGCTCATCCACCTGTGCATTTTTTAGCTCCAAATATGGGAATCGTTCCTCAATAAAAGTGACATCCCGAGAAACAAAGATTTCATGTGTCTCCAAGTCAAATAAGTTCCATCCCGTCTTTGCATAAGGGTATCCCAAAAATACACATTTTCTGCTTCTACTCGCAAATTTATCTCCATGACGTTTCTGATTGTGAGCATACGCTAAACATCCAAAAACTCGTATCTCACTATAAGCAGGAGCTTTTCCAAAGATATTTCATAAGGAATCTTACCATTGTGTAACACAGAAGGCGTACGATTGATTAGATATGCAGCACTCAAAGCACAATAACTCCAAAGTTCTATTGGTAAATTTGCCTGAAACCTCAACGCTCGTGCGACATTCAATATATGTTGATGTTTTTGCTCCACTCTACCATTTTGTTGAGGAGTTCCCACACATGAAGTTTGATGAATTATCCCTGATGTACGAAAATACTCCTTCATACCCATGAATTCACTACCATTATCACTTCGCACAATTTTCACATGTTTCTCAAACTGACGCTGAATGAGAGCAAAGAAATTTACCATTTTTTTTTCTGAACTTGTGTTTTATCAGCAAGAAGAAAAACCCACACAGCTCTAGAATAATCATCCACGATAGTTAAAAAATAAGAGGATCCACACACGCTCTGTGTTCGATATGGCCCCCACAAATCACAATGAATCATCTCAAAGCATTCTTTGCTTTTCTCTGTGCTCACAGGAAATACATTCTGACACTGCTTTGCTCGGAAACAGACATCGCAATCAGAAACACTAACACTCTTTTGATCCACTTCTGGCAATCTCCTAATAACCTTTTCAGAAGCATGTCCCATCCTTTTATGCCAAAGTTCCAAAGACCCCAACTTACTGACCTTCGCCACACTGCAAATATAATCCATGTTTTCTTTCACCCACTGCAATCAGAATTTGCAAAGCAAGATCCTGTATCCGACACATTTGCTTGAAGAACAACACAATGCAATTCATTGCATCAATAATCTGTGACACAGAGATGAGATTGCACTTGAGTTCCTTGACAATAAGCACATGTGTCAAAGTTAACTTCTCCGTCAATGCCACACTTCCTTCTCTATCAGCAACCACAACATTTCCATTAGGCAGACCCACTAAACATGGTGAGACTTTATGCACATCAAACATAACACTTAACGTACCCGTCATATGGTGCGATGCACCACTATCAATAATCCACTCATCTGTATAGGTGTTATCACTCACACGATTTGCTATCTCTAATCTCGAATCAAACCATCGAACAAGCTTATGCCATTGATCTTTCTTGAGCCCTGTCACAGCCTAAGGATCAACATGTGACGCCTCCGTGTGTGACACACGTTTTTCAGTGTGTGACACATGTTCCGTAGGTTTTCCATACTTCTCCAGCCACCAATCTGGATATCTATATACCTGATAACATGATCTCACATCATGACCATACTTCGAACAATAAGAACACTTAACTCCTCGACTCTGAAATCTCATATTTTCTAAAAAAAACAGAGAAATTCTCCAGATTTCTCCACCGAATAAAGAAATCCCAAGCCCTTATGGCTCTACAGAAATCCCGAACCTCGTCGGTCCGAGTTCACCAAAAACAAAAGAGCAAGACCTCTTCGGTTTGCTTTTTCCAATAAACCACAACTTATAAACAAGAATTTGAATCAAGAGCTAGACTAAAACTTTATGTAGCCTTAGGCTCTGATTCAAGAGCTAGACCAAAAATTTATGTAGTCTTAGGCTCTGATACCATGTCAAAGTAATTTGCGGAAGTCCTTTATTCATCAGTCTAAAGGCACATATATATACAAGTACATTAGTCAATCTTAAGTTAGAAACTAGCAATGTGGGACAAATTACTCTAATAATTCTAATAACTAATTATACAAGGCCCAATAAGCCTAATATCTCCTAATATCTCTTAATAATATGGTCAGCAACAAAATGAAATAGGGCTGAAAAAACCTGTACCAGGTGTGGAGATACGACTCATAGCTCGAAGATATCAATTGGGCATTAGGCAAGGGAGAAGAAGACTTCCTACAATCCAAATCCGCAAGCTTGGCCCGAAGAGTAATCTGAAGATCCTTAACCAAGGCCGCTGTCGATTTCGAAGTGGAAGAGTGCAACCTACTATTTCGTTCTTTAGACAGTAAATAGACGATCCCTTGAAAGACCAGAGAGCAAATGCTCTTCAGTTTCCAAGACTGAAAAGAAGACCGGACCCATACGACAATGCCATCCAGAGAAGTTGGGGAGAGATGTCATTCAGCGAAAAGAGAGAACTCCATACCTCAGACGAAAAAAGACAGTTGAAGAATAAGTGATCCCACATTTCCAGGGAAGATCCGCATAAAAACATCAGAATCTATAGTCAAATTCGCTGGAAGATCACGAGGAAGACGAGCGCGCATAAGGGATAATATGGGATGTCTCCGTGAAGAGATATTCCAGGAGCCATGATGACATGCGTCTGCAACACAGGAGAGAAGCGGTATGCCGGTGACTCTTGGACTTATTCGGTCTACCATTTTCTCTGGTTTACGAAATATTTCTATTTAAGTCATTAATTTGATTACGATTGAAATCCAATCTAACATACAGAGATCCAACTATCCACGTAGGATCTATGCAATCATGAAAGTTTACACACACGTACAACACTTTGTGACTAGAAATTGGGAGAAAAGGAGAAACAGCAACTGCATAGGCCAAACCAAAAAAAAAATATTTCTCTGGTGGAGATATGTCATTCTTGAATATCCGGTGAGATAATGAAGAGAAAAACTTTGATATGCATACTCAGGAAGCACGTCATTGGTTGTACAAAGTGTTCAACCTCCACTTTCCTCTTTGGATTAAACTTGCTATATATTTCGATTTTGCCCCCTTTCTTTAGTCTATTGAATTACCGACCCACAAATCTGTTTTGTGCTCAAGGAGACTCAGTAGCATCAAAACCGGGAAAAAGACTCCAATAGTAAAAGCAAACTAGTGTCCTTAAACCCTTAGATCAGCATTGTTTAGTGAAACTGTTCAGTGGCATATCCGCATATATATATTATCTTTTGCAATTTGCTCTCCAATGCTGAAATACTTGAACAACTTTTGTAGCAATTATGGTTCCTAGTTTTGTACGATCCAATGTTTCCCTTTTATAATTGTTGTTCGTGAAGTTACGTTCTTTGTAGTTTAATAATCCAATGATGGAACCAGGAAACACAAGGAAACATTGGATCGAAACTAATATCCATTTCTTAGTATAACAATAAGCCCAAAAAAGGAAATAATAGAATGGGAACTACCAACGTAAGGTAATGAGTTTGTGAAGTTTATATTTTAGTTTGCTTTGGCTTTAGAAGTTGAGGTCTTATCATCTTCTGTCTCCTTCTCCTTGTTCTTCTCTCCCTCCTCGAGGTTGTCGATACTATGCTTCAATCCAATGTAATAGAGCAACGCTCCGATTAACGTCAAGTTCTGCAAATCAATCAAAATCTTCGTTAATTAATATTGTAACTCGGTCATGAGATCAATGTATGAATTTACGCGGTAATTAATAAAGTTAAATAACCTGAGTGAAGTCTTTCAAATTGGTCGGGAAAGGAATCACAGTTGAGAGTATTTGTGTTGCGAGCTTAATCAAGAAAACATGTTTTGAGATCAAGATCTTTTATAGACAAACATTTTCTCAAGATAGAGATTTATGTTTTTTTACCAAGAAGTAAGCTGGGATGGATTGTCCAAAGATGAACCATAAAGCTGCAGCCCCTTTTGCGCCTATAAGCGAAAACTCTAAGAGTCGAACATCGAACGCGACCACTTGCATTCCAGTGTAAAACGTGAGAACCTTAGAGCCATATTTGGTCATCACATTCACTGCTGGTCCGATCGTCTTTTCGAGAGGTCCACCATCGCCAAAATGATCAGCGTAACTAGTAGAGACGTGGACCAAACGTGAAGTTAATTAAGATCAAGCCTTCCTTGAAGACAACCAAATCGAATAATTACTTAATAAAATTCTTACTCTTGAAATGCAGATATGAGAAAAACAGAGGCAAATGTCAATCTCCCGAAGAAAGCTATGGCTGGCATTGACTTTTTTAAGGTTGTGCACATCATGTTCTTGACGTTCGACATACTCGAATTGTGTTCTTGATGTCAATGTTAGCTATAAAACCTGACTAAGATAGTTGTAAGAACAGAAAAAAAAATTCATATCAGCACAGAGAAATCAAGAATACACAAGAATCTTGATGAGAATCATTAATCAAGCCAAGAGCTCTGATCTACAAACAAACTAAATTTATTTTCTGAAAAAGCATTACAGTAACATTTTTTTGTATAACTTGTTGTTTTTTCACTGTAAGAACTAATCAAAAACAAGAATTCGGATGTTGATTAGAATTCGGATGTTGATTAGGGGCAACGATACTTACTTGTTTGAAAAGTAAAGCTTTGGTGAATCCGTAGCATATGAAATGAAAATATGTGCTTTAAGATGGATAAAAGAGAGAAATCTAATTGAGGCATCCATTGACGAGGAAGAAGTTGTTCATAATAAAATGATTTAAAATGTATATATTTTAAGAGAAGATGAGAATCATGCTTTGGGTATTTTTTAAGTCAACATTTACGAAAAAGCTATTAATTAAAATAATAATATAATAGAGAGATGTGCATTGCATAACCCAAGTTCATGAGAATGATACCACTCTTTAATAAAATAGTGACATTATTGGTTAAATTGGCTCCAGTGGCGTTCCCATGATAAATTGACAACTAATTAATTGCCCCCATATAATCCCTACGTGGTAGGGCTTTGAATATAAAACAATTACCAGAGTGATTACAGCTAATCATCATAAGAAAAAGTAAAATCCCTATAGGAAATTTTGTTTGATCAATTCAAAACCAATTATGGAGGAACACAATATGCCAATTACCCATCTCCAATGAGTATCTATGAACATATTAATAATTATAAAATAAGTATGGTTATGTCTTAGTTGCCTTGCTGTCATAATTTTATGAATAAGTTTAATTAGAATATGCAAAGTAGTGATAAGGTGATATTATTGTAATCATGTGTTTAACGTGGCCTCCGACTTCTTACCAAATTACATTAAACTAAACAAAAGGCATTATCAAAATAGGTTACAGTTACGATCAATAATTTCTCTACGATTTCACAAGGAATGGATGATTTTTTACCGTCAGTGTTCTTCTTCCTTGATTATTGACTCTTCTTCGTCACCAAAGTAAAATACACATCTCTATACCTTTTTATTTTCTATCTACCTTTTCCTTTTTTTTCACCAAACCCTTCTACGAGAGCTTCTCTCTCCATCTTACTTTTCCTTTTAAGTTTTATCAGTTCTTCTGTTCTTGTATCACCTTGAGATAGATTTAACGATTTGGCTTTTGCTGTAAAATTTGTTAACATGTGTCCATGGCATTGCATGTTTTATAGACAAGTGTCCAATGCCTAAGCCAATTGTCAAGAGCTTTTAGAGCCACTTTTTTGTCCGTGTTTAAATTGGACTGAGTATGTTTTTATTTGTTTGTTTGTTTCTTCTACATAATTGGAATAATTATGTTGGCATCTAAACCTAAATAATTTATATTTCCCGATGAAAATGTTACGGAATTACTGGCAATGACATTTGCTATGCACATATCACCTCTCCAATATTCTTCATCTACATTATCTAATAATTCCCAAAGTAAATTTTTTTCACTTTGAAGATTCTTTTTGTAACACATGATTACAATAATATCATTACTTTGAAGTTTCACATTTTTTTTTCTAATCTTGATGCAATAAATCAAATTTTCTTTAAGCTAAAAAAAGAAAAAACGCTTAGAACGTGCAAAGTTCACCCACATATTTGTTTCAAGAAGAATGATTCGAAGACCGATCGAGTTGCGGTTTCTCTTGTGATTTGTGAATTTCTCAATTTTTTTCATTTCTTCTTCATTGCTTTCTCTATTTGGCATAGCGTAAGTACGACTTTCTTTCTGAACGCACAATCTTCAAAAGTTTAGAACTTTATTTCCATCTGAATCATCATCATCGTTTCCCTCTGGCTTATTTTTATAGGATAAAGAGAATCAGAAATGGATTTTGTGCAGAGAAAAGTGAACAATTTAGGAAGAAAAGTTGCTACTTTCCCCCATGTCGAAACTATTGGAAGAGCTCTTTTTGCCTCCTCCTTCTTCCTCTCTGCTTGGCATGAGTAAGACCCATCAACCACTTCCTCTGTTTTCCTCTTAATTACCTTTTTCTTTTAATATCCTCATCATCATTATCTTTACATGGAATTCAAATAGATACATGATCAGATTGATTTCTTGAATTCATAGAAACATTGGAAAATTGTTTGACATTGAATGATTGTAAGTAACTTTTAAATTTCATGAGTTCCTGTGGATTGGTCCATTGTCTATGTCCCATCTCATTTCTGATTCCTGACTGTTTCAATTACTCCTCTGTTTTAGCAAGGAGGCTCTTGAAACTCCTCTGTTTATTTGTTTTGTTTTTTTATGTTATATTTAGTTACATGGAGCTCAGATCTAATTGGGAAGGACCAGCTGATTACTGGAGACCGAAGTTTGGCTATTCAGGAGACCAAATTAAGCATCTTATGGCAGTTAGTATCATAGTAAAGACCCTTGGTGGACTTATCTTCATCTATGGCAGCTTCTTTGGAGCATTTTTATTGGTACTAACTCCAAATTTGCTCTTATTAACTTAGTGGAATCTAGTTAATTGTAAGATAGTTCATGTAGTCTAAGAATCTCCAAATACAATGGAGCCTTTTATGAATCGGTGAGCTTTACCAAAACTATCGAAACAAGTCTATAATATTAATCAGTCAAAACTATTTTAAAGAAAGCTTGAAAACCCTAACTAACTTTAATTAGAACAAGATAACTACTTAAATATATGAAATAATTAAACTAGGAATATTATGTAGTTCTTTTTATTTTGAGCTGCATCACTTGTAGTTATAGCTTGATCTCTTGGTTTCATGCCAAGTCAATCTGTTTCCTTGTGGTTATATAGCTTCTACACCAAGGCATTGCTACAATGATACATCATGATTTCTACAACCATCGTATCGACACTGTAGAATTTGGACTGCTTTATCTCAAATTCAAAACGGTAATAACAAGATATATTTCTTCCTTTTCAGCCACTAAGGTTTCTTACAAATCTCAATGTTTTTCCTATATTGTCTCTGGTTTTGTTTGTTTAGATCCTGAACGAAACTGTGTCGTACGATGCCGCACACAATTTCTACAAGTCAAATTTTGACGAGCAGCAAATTGAGCAAGTCATATCAAAATTCCGTGAGGTGCTTTCTTGAGGCCAACGTATGATAAGTTTAGATTTCTTGATCTTTGCGATGACCTGACCGAGTATTATGTGTTTTGTGTAGCTTGCGGACCACGCAGTTACAAGTCCGGCCTTGTTCGGACATAACGAGTTTTTTCGACAGCTCTTAAGCTTCCTCAAGGCACTGGCCGTAGTAGGAGCATTGCTCTTTTTCTTGACTATGAAGCACAAACTCAACAAAGCCAAGAAGGAATCCAAGGTTAAAACTGACTGAAACTAAGCCCGTTTATATATATTACATTTTCTTTACAGATTTCAATGTCATTCCCTTTATCTTTATGTATTAATCTTATATCGAATTCGAATAATCTTTTGGCTAAGGAACAACCATTACCTCTCTCTCCCTCTCTCTCTATTCCATGTTGTTTAATTACTTCAGTCGTGAGTCGTGACTAATGGTGCTATAATAATTCATGATTCGTGAAGAAGAGCAGTGCCAAATCTAGCAATTCTAGCGTATTTGGTGATCGAGTATGTGCATGAGGTTAACCAATCTAAATATTCACAAAAGAAATGAAGCTTCATCGCCAATCTCTTGCTCACAACCTATTGTTCTATTCCACAAGTTGTATGGCAAAAGCCTTATCGCCAACCTCTTCCTTATTAGTAAGACCCAAAAAAAAAAAAAAGAATCAAAGCCCTGTGATTTAAATTCATTGCAAAAAGCTTATTTGACATTTAAAACTAGCCCTGTTCACACCTAGCGAGTTTAACACATCGATTATGAGGTTCATTAAGGTCTTGATAACCAAACAACAATTGTTAAAATTACGAAAACAAAAAATAGTCAGAAACTGAAACTGTTTGTCTTTTTTTGTTTTTCTCTCAGGGCTTTGGAATAGTAGTAGCTTCATTGGTGTATTTCATTGCAATTAAGTATGAGATGCTGAAGAATACGTCCAAGAAGTCCAAAACTAATTGAGCCAATCTGGCTTCTTCACTTATGTCTCAAACAAACAATGGATCTCTCTATGTTTTTTTTTTTGTTATAAATAAATAGTAAGCATATTTGATTATGGTGTTGTATTTTCATCTCCCGAACAAGTTCAAATGTCTCAGATCAATTGATTAGCTAATTGTGTTTACTGTTATTTTTCTTTTTCTTTCAAATCTGTTTTGTTCTTAAAATTTAAGTCTCTCCTTTTTGATTTCACACGAGTTCAATAATTAGTTATGTTAAAATTTCTCTAATTTATAAATAATTGGTCATATGTTTAGCAAAAATAGGGACTGAATTTATAAGATCACTTTAGTTTTTCTATATTTAAATTAATTTTGTTTTATAACAGAATAGCTGCAAAGAGATATTATAGTGATGTTTTTCACTACAATGATCTAATCATTTTACTTTTGAAATTTTTTTATTTAAATTTGGACTTTTTTGTTTGGTTTGCCAATAAAGTTGGACATATTCTGGCTGAGCAATAAACTAGTAAAAATAGTTCAACTACATTATAACTTAAAATATTAGAAATTTAAGAAAAATTGATTTTATTCTGATTTTATAATATGTTTAATTACTGATTAATGATTATAGATAGAGATGTCAAACCAAACTAATCTGTTTATTTAATCTGTTTTAATTTTTTTTTAAACTGTTTTGACTAGTCCAGAAAAATATATAATCTTGAATACATAACTTTAATATACATCGTTTAATGATTCTAGTTTTTATAGTCAGTCCATAAATTTTTACAAAAATTAATTTTTTGTGTCTAACTATTTATATATTAAATTTTTTTTTTAATTTTTTATATATTTTCAAATAGAATATAATAAATTATAATAAAAAATATTATAACTTTTTTAATAGATATATATTTTTTTAATATATATATATAGATTGCTATTATTTTTAAATATATATATATATAATAATTAAGAAACTAAATAAGAAATAACCTCTTTAATGAAAAATATATACTTTCCAAATTTTTTATATAATCTTAAAAAATAATTATATCTTTTTTTATTTCAATTATATTTTATTATTTATAATGACATTTCATATAATAACTTACACATTTAAGTTTATTTTTAAAAACTTCTACTTAAATAATAGTTTAGAGATTCATATCCCTTGTCATTTTAAACGTTATTAGATTTTGGTTTAGGCTTGAGAAGAATGTGAGTTCTGGTCGTTTTTTAAGGCAAGTCCACTTTGATGGAAACTAAATTAGCATTCACATACCTATAAATTTTCCGTTTAAAAAGAATTAACGTCCAAGTCTTAATTTATTATTTATGTTCCTCTAAGATAGAAACTAAGTACCTTCATAATTTTGATATACAGTCTTTGCCTTCACATACATTTTTATTTTATATCGAGAGATCTCAAGCTACTCTCCAAAATCTATGAAACACCAAAATTATTGATATTTAAGACATTTACAGCAATTAACTATAATAATCGTTGTGGAAAAACTCAAAAATTTTGCTCACCCAAATTCCATAATGAGTTATTCAATTATTAGATCACCAATTTGTTTTCACATATTACTTTACCAGAAGTCAGCTTTTATATTAGAAGTGTCATAGATTCTTAAACGATATGTCATTTTAATTAATTCTGACCTAAAGATTAACCATTTTCTAATAGTTGATTATTATTCTTCCTCCTTCTATAAAAAGGTCGTGTCTTTGGTGATTCAAGCACTTCACTTTCTTTTCCGTCTCTTACATTTATATATACAGACATCGTTATACGGTCAATAAATCTTGCGTAGTTCAAAAAATTATGGACAAACCCCAAAAAAAGGTGGTTGCATATGAGGAAAATACTCAGAAAATGTCGTATCTTATGCACGCCGGTCGACTTGTTTTCGCATTTGCGTTCATCTTATCTGCATGGAGAGAGTAAGTACTAATCAAAATACTATATTTAAATTGAAATATATTAATTTTGTTTCCTCAAGCTCTTTCATGGTTTATTCTGTCCCCTAAGCTATCATGGAATATTAATCAGTCTTAATGGTGGAGTAGCGGTCGAGGCCCTAAGACCAAAACTTGGTTTCTTTGAAAACCAGGTGATCATTTATTATACGAAAGTGTGAAATGAAACAGAAAGAAGAACATTAACCAATTTAATATATACGTTATGATTGATATGTGTGAGATTTTATTTTTTGTAGGCAAAGTACATTGTTAGTCTTGGTATAGTGATGAAGGTATTAGGGGGGATCTTGTTCATCTTCAACACTTACCTCGGAGCTTTTCTCTTGGTATATTAAGTTACCTGATTATCTCATTAAAGTATACTAAAATAATAAAATTCAAATAAATAACCAAATTCACTAAATGGTTTGATCTTAGCTTATATATCAAGTAATACTGAGCCCCCTCTTGTACGATTTCTACAATCGCGATTATGATAGAGATAATTTCAGCCTCTTCCACACAAAATTCAAAGCGGTAAGTACCTCGATTCCAATAGTCATTTGTAAATCAACATACATATATATGTATAGTTTTTTCATATATATATATATAGTTGGTATGGGTAATATATATAAATAATGTCGGTTAATTTAGAAATTTGCAAGGTATATATGTATTTGCTCAAGACTTTCGAGTCTCGGCAAAAGAAAAGAGAACCCATGATATTATTACTCGAATTCGAACCCAACGGATATACTTAACAATAACACTATAGTGAAATGTATGATTAGTTTGTGAACGAGACAGTATCAGCAGATGATGGAGTGGCCATGAGCTTATATAAATCAATGGTTAACAAAGAGTTGCGCCAAAGAATTTTCGTTCAATTATATGAGGTACATACTCAAAATGATTTATACATAATATATATTATGTCGACACTGTTACATATTCTTCTTGGTTATGTATTACAGATTGCAAGACTAGCCATCTCGAATCCTCTGTTCACACCTAGCGAGTTTAACACATCGTTTATGAGGTTCATTAAGGTCTTGATAACTAAAAACCAATTGTTAACATTACGAAAACATAAATTCATCAAACAAGAAATAGTCAGAAACTGAAACTGTTTGTGCCTTTTTTTGTTCTTCTCAGGTCATTGGAATAGTAGGTTCGTTGGTGTATTTCATTGCAATGAAATATAAGTATGAGATGCTGAAGAAAATGTCCAAGAAGTCCAAAACTAATTGAGCCAATCTGGCTTCTTCACTTGTGTCTTTTTTTTTTTGTCAACTCAAACAAACAATGGATCTCTATGTGTTTTTTTTTGTTATAAATAAATAGTAAGCATTTGATCATTATGATGTTGTATTTTCGTCTCCCAAACAAGTTCAAATTGCTCAAGATCAATCGATTAGCTTATTGTGTTTTCTGTTATTAATTATTCTTCTTCTTTCAAATTGCTCTTAAATCTTAATAATACATTATTGATTAAAAACTATTCTTCTAGTCGATTTCGCACGGGTTCAAAACCTAAAAATTTCTCTAATTATTAAATAATTGGTCAATAGAACTGAATTTACAAGATTACTTTAGTTTTTATATGTTTGGATTCTGATTTATAACAGAAGAGCTGCAAATATGATATTATAGTGATGTTTTTCACCGCAGTGATCTAATCATTTTAGTTTTGAAATATTTATTTAAAGTTGGACTTTTTTTGTTTGGTTTGCCAATAAAGTTGGACATATTCTGGCTGAGTAATTAACTAGTAAAAAATAGTTCAACTACATTATAAAAAAAACAAACCAATAATAAACAACATAAAAGGCCAAAACCCTGATCAAAAAATTAATTGAATCCAGATTAATAAAAGTAATAATTTCCCAATGGAAAAAAGTGAACTTCCAACAATGCGAAAGCTCAAAGATGAATAAACAAACACACAGAAATTTGTCCATCACTTTCGCCATTAGCTATTTTATTGTTTTATAATTTTTTCCACTTTTCCAATAAACAAAGACACAAAACTCAAAAATGCGCATTTGTTCTTCTTCGCCATCCTCTCTCCTCCTCTCTATGTGCTCTTTTTCTGTTGAAGAGGAAAACAATAACTCTTCAAAAAAGTCTTCAATCCCCATATTTTACTCCTCTGATTCCTCAATCTCGTACACTGATAACCGCAAAAAATTTCAGCTTTTTGTCTTCTCACCGGAAAAATCGCCTGAGCTTTCCAGAAATTTGGGATTTTTGCGGCCGGATTCTGAGTTTTCCTCGGAGAAGTAATCAAAGACTATAATTTGACGATTAGGGTCTGTCTTGATTTTGGGGATTTTTGAGGTGACTTGGAAGAGAAATGATAGATATCCCTGGAACACCAGGGACTTTGACTGGTCTGCTCTTGAGAATTTCGCAGTGTGTTTTTGCTGCTGGCTCGATTTCTTACATGGTTACTTCTGGTGGATTCTTCAGCTTCACTGCTTTCTGGTAAAACTCCACTCTTTTGTCGTTTTGATCAAGCTCGGCACTGAGTTCTTGAATAGTGTGGTTTTGAGATTTAGGTAGGATCGTACAGATCCAATCCGTAGATAAAGTTACTTTCAGAATCCTACCTAACTCTTCTTTACCTGTGGATTTAGTATTAGGAGTCTGATGTTTGGTACCTCCAAGATCTTGTTCTAGACAAGTGTGGCTTGATTTCGTATTGCTTCATGGATATTGTATTCATCTAGATGACTGTAGCTATTATGTTTCAAACATCAAGACGCTAGATTTTACGAAACTGGAGTACTGGACTAGATAAATCGAAAGCCCTGCTTGGTTCTTTTGTTATTTGAAGTTCAAGAAAATCTTGAAAACGTATAAAGAATCATCAAAGTTTGATCTCTCTCAGATGTAAACATCTGATTTTGGAATCGTTGATTCTGATACGATCTAGCATTCTCAAGCGTATGTAGTGGAGAAAGATATGAACTTTTTGCTTATTTTGTTGCAGCTACTTAATTGCAGCAATGGGTTTGCAGCTCATATGGAGTTTCGGTCTAGCGATACTAGACACCTTCGCATTAGTGAGAAAGAAAACGCTTCTTAGCCCTGTTTTAGTCAGTCTCTTTGTAGTTGGAGATTGGGTAAGTGTCTCTCTTTCTCTCTGTTAACACAAGAAATAATCAAAACTTTGAACGATCTTGCTGTTTTTTTTAGGTAACAGCGACTTTGTCACTAGCGGGAGCATCGTCCTCTGCAGGAATCAATGTGTTATACTTTGGGGATTTAGGAAGCTGCAGTTTTGAAAGAGAGTGTTGGAGGTATCAACTCTCTGTTGCCTTAGCTTTCCTTTGTTGGATCACCATCGCCATTTCTTCACTTACCACACTTTGGTTACTTGCTTCTGGGTGATTATACAAGAAAAGAAAGGTTCAACACTCTTGTACAATTTCCATATATATACTCTTTACACAAACTCATTTTGAGATTTTTGGATTCTTTACTTTGTTAATAGAAACGATTACACCATTTTTTTTATAATTCTCAGTGTATACTGAAATTACTGTCACAGCTCTTTTGTTAGAAAATGATTGTAAATTGATGTTATAAATTAACAGATTTTTAGATTGAGCACTTTTGTCTATTGTTGTAATTATGGACAATGGTACTAAAATAGATATATTCATGTATCTTCCGAGTTCGTTTGGATCATCAAACTAAAAATGATGCAAACATGTAAAATTCGGTTGGTGGTGGTTTTGCCTTGCTTTGAAGCTAAAAGATGGCAAAGATCCAACGGCTTGGAATTAATGAGTAATTGAAAGAGTGGTTAAGATTCTTCTACTAGGACCCACTTGGACCACTATCTTTTGAGTACTTTTGTTTAATATAAATCCACTCCCTGAATTTTCAGATTCCTTTACATTTGGTGCAATACTCAGTTTTATCTATTTCCACCTTTGTGCTATTTGATCAAGAGACAATAAAATTCACAAGTTTCTCAGACATTTTATTCCAAAACAGAACCTAAGAACAAAGCTAAACACTTGAAAATGGAAGAATCATTAAAATTCTCTATCCCCCAATGGTTACTACTGCAAAACTAAATAATAAAGAATATATCATCTGAGAAAGGAACAAAACGTCCAAAGTGATTGATATATTATGATCAAAATGATTAAGCAGCAGGAGACGGATCTTGAGACGTATCACGTTCTGGAGGATGCAAGTACGGCCACATTTGCATGTTTGGATAGTAACCGTAGCTCGGATAAACCGCCATTTTACTCGGATGAAAAGCTGCTGGATGCGAGTGCATGAAACTCGGTGATGGAACCGCCATAGATTTCAGCTGTTGCTCCATCTTCTCCTTATCTGCCTTCAACACTAGCTTCTCTTCCCTTAGCTCGTTCTTCTCCGCCTATTAAAGACAAGTTAAAAACAAGAAACCAATAAGCCTCCTTATAGATAATGAAGTCAGAATCTGCAAAAGATTACTTTAGAAATCAGTTTTTAGGAACAAAGTTGAGAATTCAACCTTTAAACTCTTGATCTCATCAAGAAGTGTCTGGTTGGTTTCTTTAAGCTCGTGAGCTTCACCTCTGAGCTGATTCACAACACGGATTGCATCATCAAGAATTGCTGATTTATCCGTCTTTGGAGTCCTGGTAGGCTCCAAAACAGAGCTCAAATCCGTGAACCTGAAAAAGAACCCAATTTTCATTCATATTAGACCACAGGACAACACGGTGCAAACATTTTACGCATAAGGAAAATCTCTGAACATACTTCTCATTTAGCTGTTCCCTTCTCCGTTTCTCACGACATGCTTTGGATCCTAGCTTGCTACATGATCCAGTTCGTCCCCTGTTCATATAAAATCATCAGATCAAAACAACATAGTGGATACTAAAGTAATTCCTGTAGGTAAACAAACAACATAATAGTGAAAGAAAGGTCGCAAATAATCCCACACGCCTCCCCAAGAAAACATATATAAATAATCAAACACAAGAGTTTTACCAAAAGAAACACATATCACACCACAGATAACGCTTTAGCGTATTGAAATCATCAGAAACAAAGAAACGTAAAGAGCAAGGATTTGGATTCTCAAAACACTTTACCTCTTTCTTGAGCATTCTTCCTGAACATGTTCTTGCTCTTCCTTAATAGCTCCAATAGATGATGAAGAGTTGATTTCCACTACAACACCACTACACACTTGTTCATGTTCCTGATGCACACGAGTCGATGAATCGTTGTTTTGCCCTCTAAAGCTACAGACTTGATGCGCCTCTTGCTGCAAAACTCCACTATACGACGCCCCCAAATCCAATTGTGCTGATCCAATGCTGCTACTATAGACTTGAGGAAAGTTTCCACTAAATGAATCGAATTGAGCTCCAATGTTACATACTTGTCCTTGCTCTGCCTGCAGATTCACACCAGATGACCCAAATTCCGGAAAGAGGTTTTCCTGATCTGTCTGTATAAATGCGTAAGGATCTTCAGCTCCATCGCTGCAGATTCAAGAGTAAAAATCTACATCAATGAAAAGAGAGAACTTTGTGGTATTCAAAATCAAAACTTTAAGAAACCCAACATTGTTTTTAGGTTTCGCCAACGTTTATTGCGATTGAAATGTGAAATTGGATTGAAATTTCGAGACTATTAAGAAACCCAGATATTCAAAGGTATAACACATCACAATTGAGCAATCAAAACTTGAAAAGCAGAAGAACATGAAGGAGAATGAATAGAGGAGAAATCGAAGGAACCTTTGATCGAAGCAAAGAGAAGCGAGAAGATCGTCGTCGTCTTCGATTGATGGATACATCAGAGAGTGAATGCAGAATTGAGAATCTGCAAATCGTTTAAGAGGGACGCGCAAACACACAAAAAAACTTGTATCCCTAATGAGATACTGTGTGTAGGGGAAGAAATATAAATTAGAAAAATCTGAATGACGTAAATATTCGGAGTTTGTTATAAGAAATTACTATAATTTAAAAGGTTGAAGGAATTTCGGAATTTTTTCCAAATCGTATTTTCGAACAAAAAAAAAACATATCGAATTTTAATAAAAACACGTTGGTTTATATGAGAAGACAACAAAATAAGAATCGAGTTTTATTACTAAAAAGTTATAATTATAATATATTATGGGAGGCTTTAAGAAAGCCACGCTTTCACCAAATGAAAATGGTTGGGTCAAGAATTAAGAGAATCGTTCAGTGTTGGACTGCTTTTTCTAAAAGGCGTTGCATTACGTTTCGTTTTTTGTTAAGTCCGATTTTTATCAATTTTGTAATTCTTTTTTTTAGAGTATTTGGACTATTTCTTTTGTTAATTGAGTTTACCACTTTAAATCTATTTTTCAAAATCATTATTTGATTTATTTTCTGGAGGTGATACATGTAGAGTTGTTAGAGCACCTCCAATGATAAAATATTTATTTTGGATATGTAAACAAATAAATATTAATATTTTAATATAATATAGTTATATAATTAAATTTTAATTCTAAAATTAAAAACTAACCAATATGAATGACACACATGTAGATATTCTATACAATGGGGTTCTGAAATTAGGATTTTTAGAATTCTCTCTCTTATTTTTTTAATTTTATTATTTATTTTAATTGGTAAAAGTCTTTGTAAAACCCTCCATTGGAGGTGGTTTTAGAATCTCTTATTTTTTTAATTTTATTCTTTATTTTAATTGGTAAGAGTCTTTGTAAAACACCATTGAAAGTGGTCATAGATATTTTATGTGCGTGTTAATTACATTATCGTTTCAATACGGTCAAGCTTTAACAATTTCATCTTTCAACACCTGTTGTCTATATTTTTACCCAAAGAAATGTGTTTGCAAGAGCGTTCTGTCGATGCTTTATTACGGCACGTTGTCAAATAAATCACTCTAATTTTATTGTCACGTCCGAGTATATTATAACTTTTTATAGTTTTTATAAATCACTTTTAATTCATAATTGGGACGAAGTCAAACTAGTCTCCTAATTTAATTTTTGTTACGTACTTTTACCATTTAAGATATGTATAATGATGGCTAACTATAATTGAAATTTGATATATGAGTTAATGGCTAACTAGAAATTCTATAATGCTTCATGCAGCCACTAGATTACCATTAGTTAATTATAGGGTTAGTTTTATTTCTTTCAATATATATCGTAACACTATGTAAAGTCACTTCTTAGTTTTGTTTCTTTCAATATATATCGTAACACTCTATGTAAAGTCACTTCTGATCATATTTGATATTTCCTAAATTCAATAATATGATTAAATCTGACTGAGTTACCAACAACAAGAAGTCAATTTCTTTTAAGTTGCATAAGGGATCACTTTAATTATTCTTGGTGTTTCAAGCCTCATATAATTCAGCATTGGTATTGTAGGTATCCCCTAATAGCATTGGTATGGTAATTTTTTACAATTCCAATCGATATAATAATAAAATGATGCACACGTATTTAAAAATATGCTATCTCCTATATTTCTATTTTACACAACCATTTAATAATGAAAATTAAAGTTAACAAGTTACTTTCAACATGTTTTTTTCATATTCTTAAAAAAAAACATTTTCTAATATGAAATGGAAGAAGTATTCTATTAAGTTTTGTCTCTATTCTAGAGTGAGCAATATCCACACACTCTATAGAACTGTAGAAAGCCAAACTAAATGACTTGTTTGGTCGAAACGAAAGTCGAAGTGTCGAACGCTTGAAAAAGTGGGCACTTGACAATGAAAAAAATCTAACTTTGGTAAAAGCAAGAACAAAAACACAAAGTGGGCAAAAATGGCCAATCGAATCGTGAAGTGAAAGAAAAAGAGAATCATTCATTACGGTCTCCGGAACAATAATAGATAGTGGACAAAAACTTGAATGTGATCATCGTTGATCAAAGTGAAAGAATAAAAGAATCATTCAAGTGTATTAGAAAAAAGTTTTGACACTTGGAAGTTCGGACAACAAAACGTTCGTTGGCGTTTTCAAACGCCGCATCTTCGAATTTCTTAGCCGAGTCCAATCATATAAATAGAAGCAAAATGAGCATTCATTTCATATACAGTGCTATCTCAACAAAGTACACGTTTGGTTCACGTTATCCACCAGAATTTATTTTTTAACATCTGTAACATCACAATTCGGACTTATCAACCCCAACTCTTTTGTGAATTCGAAAATTGATTTTTTACACATAAAGCGGGTTAGCAATCTTGGTAGCCATAAAAGCTAATGGATCTTTAGTCCCTTAATTCCGTGGCTGTATAGGCAGCAATCTTCTGCCTTTTTAGGTAATTTTTGGTTAGAAATAAAATTATAATGGGCTATCGGAGCCCAATAATAGTTTTAATAGGTTATCCACCTAAAGCCACAAAACGCAAAAAATTTGATCGAACCTAAATGCAATTGAATTTACTCAACCAACAAAGGTAATTGAGAAGGTTTTCTCCTTCAAACACTCGAGATGTTCACTGTAATTAATTAAATATATTATTTTATTATCAATATACAAGCCTTTAATATGACTTCTTTTGTTCATGCCACTTTCGCCGAAGAAATAGATTCGATCTTACCACTCGAGATGCTCAAAAGTTTTGTAAAATTTCCCACACTTAAAAGTTACATTCAAATAGTAGTTCGTCGATGGAGTGGTTGATAACTATTCAAAGTACCCAGATGTCTTCACTCTTTCATAGGAGCTATTTAGAGAGCAAATTATGTAAGGCCGTACGGGAATTAATTTTTCCGTATAGAATGTAAATTTTATTATTTTTCTTCAAATAGAAATAAAATCATAACTCGTTGCATTATCTTAATACGGTCAAGATAATATAAGATTTACCACATTAGTTTTGAATAGCTGGTCAATGAACACAGTGCGACTAAGACACTAATAGTAAAAATGTACAAATATTCTAATTATCTAATGCCAATGTAGATATAAAATAGAATGTTAAAATATTTAATAAGATTTACATTACAGTTAAACTTTTATAAATTAATAATATTGAGATTGTAATATTTTATTAATTTATATAATTATTAATTTATCGATATAAAAATTAATTTAAAAAATTAGTTTAGGATTTAAAAAATTCATTAATTTATGGAAGTATTAATTTATTAAGATGTTAATTTATTGAATTTATACTGTATTTGGTAATAGTCAAATTGAAATTTAGAAGACCAAAATCTACTACACGTGCGGTCAAAGTTGACACGTGAAAATTAATTGTAAGAGGAAAAAAAGAAAGAAAAAAGAGCTTGACCGAAAAAGTGAGAGGCTGAGATCAATTTTGGTTCGTTGTCATATAAGTGAGAGGCTGAAAATAATTTAGCCGTCACCTTGACCATCTAGATTCATTGGACTTCACTCACATTTTTAATATTTTCCCTTTAGCCCCTCAACGTATCCTAAATTGTACTAGACACAGAGCAGCAGAACCAATAGTTTCTATCTTTTCGTAAACCCCAATCATATACTTTACTATCATAATGGCACGCATATATTTTTATTTTTCAGTTTACCCCCTTTTTTGACTTTGATATACTTATACAGTAAAGGAGGCTTTTGATCACACACACGTGCTTTAAAATAAGATCCACAAGATTCTCTATAGAGTGGCATTACTTCCACGTATAAAATGTTTCTAATATCAACTCCATGTACATGCAAAAAGAAGCTTACATAAACTTATGGAACACAGAGAGTCGAACAAAAATGAGGTAAAATACAGAGGCGTACGGAAGCGTCCATGGGGAAAATACGCGGCGGAGATACGCGACTCGGCTAGACACGGTGCTCGTGTTTGGCTCGGGACGTTTAACACAGCGGAAGACGCGGCTCGTGCCTATGATAGAGCCGCTTTCGCCATGAGAGGCCATAGGGCCATTCTCAATTTCCCTCACGAGTATCCAATGATGAGGGATGGTCCAAGCGGCGGTATAGTGGCTTCTTCGTCACCGTCGGAGTTTAGAGGAGGAGACGGTGGTGGTGAAAATGAAGTGATTGAGTTTGAGTATTTAGACGATAGTTTGTTGGAAGAGCTTCTAGAATGTGGAGAGAGTTATAACCAGGATGTTTGGAATGAGGCAAACCGTTAATTAGATAGTGTCACTTATTTTGTTTATTTTTCTTTCAATTGTATTAGATCACTATATTCATTTCTCACAGTATCTAAGAAATCACGGTCTTATTATCTGTATGGATAGTATATTTTTTTTGGTTTTGGAGGAACGAGCATTAATTATGTACAGTGTTTTGTTCTTTGTCAATTTTCCCGGGAATTTTGAAATTACTTGTTAAAAGTTGGTTGATTAATGTTGGGCTTCATGTTATAAATTAAATAGATTCAGCCCAATTTAATGGGTAGATCATTGTGTTATCATAATGGCACACACATTGACAACCCTAATACTAACTACTAAACTACATCATCTAATTATGCTAGACTATCTATTTAACATAGATATAATTACATAAAAATAAACACTCTGAAATCAAATATGTTATGAAGGGCTGTCATTTGTCATGACTTCATGAAAGGAACCATAAAATATCATCGATTTAGCTGGATTAGCAACACTAACTTGTACTTAGAGAAGAGAGTACTATGGTCGTTCACAAGAATCATTTAGATATCAAGGTTGTTCAAAATATGTCAAGGTCGTCCCAAACTTGCAATAATCATATTTTGGATGAACTTTTCTCTTTTTGTTTATTATAACTTATTATTTTACTTTTTCGAAAATGGATATTGTAAATTTTTCAAAACATGTTGAAGGAGCTGATATGAAAAAACTGCAAAGCATTATACTACGAATATAAAAAGTCCATATCAAGAAGCAAATTTGAATATTAACCTTTCTTCTTGGTCGAAGTTCTTCCCTAGTGATGTTGAATTAGAATTTCTTATCTAGTGATGTTGAATTGGAAAGCTAGAGAGAGATATCATGAACTTATTTTGTTTCTGAACTAGATTCTCGTGCGCATGGACCTTGCTATATAGTTATAATACCTAAAGGCTTTTGATCATTGGATCACACGCTCATTGACGGCTAATTTGCTAATTGCTATACTAAAAGCTCGAAAAACTTATCTATTGATAATTCTAAATATATTGAGGCTTTTCATGTGTTTTGTCCACAGTTATATGATAATGATAATCGGTTTTAAGCTGGGAATGTACTTTGCCTATGAAATCGTATAGAGTAATACGATTAGTCCCTCAATACCATTGCCAACATATACCATAATTAATATGTCATTAGAGAACAATTTCCTTCTAAAGAAAACCTAATGGAAGCTGGTGTATACGTACTTAAACCATCCAACAGTCATATTGCATGGAAACGCAAAGACACCTTATCTTACAATTTATAGCCGTACACGTTATAAAAATTCCAAAATAAGAACTAAATAAGCAATCTACATGCACATAATGCACGTAGCTACTAGCCACATAAAAATAACAAAACAAAACTACCGCTTCTTCCTTTCATCTGAATCAAGAAGTTCTTCAAGAACCCTATCGTCCAAATACTCAAACTCGAAGACTTCCCTCTGACTTTGTCGACTCACACCCGCAGAAGTTGAACTCGAAGATGATGAAGAAGAATAAGGAGGGCGCAGCGAATAGTCGTCCATACGCGAATAATACTCGTTAGGGAAGTTCAGTATAGCGAGATGACCTCTGAGGTTAAAGGCGGCTCGGTCATACGCACGTGCCGCATCCTCAGCGGTTTCATATGTCCCGAGCCAAAGACGAGCACCATTTCTTGACGGGTCTCGAATCTCTGCTGCAAATTTGCCCCACGGCCTCCTACGTACGCCCCGGAAACGAGCTTGTTTGTCATCTTGTGATTGGCTGTTGCTCCTCCTGTTTGATGATCCCTCCATAAAACTTTGTCCTAATTAATTAGTGATCTGCTAGTTCAAGATTGGTTTGCTTTGAAGAGTTGGGTGAGAGATGTTATTTAATAAGGGATCTGTGGATGATGCATTGTGGTTTGTATGTTTATATAGAAGGCTGGATTTTCGGCGAGTCAGAATCGACGTTCGTTTTCAGGTGACTTGACGATTCTTGGGGTTGACTGTTCTTTCCTATTATACCTTTTAATTTTATTATTTGTTTATTTATATTTTTGGGATTAATAATAAAGTTTTATTTTCCACGAAGGTTCCATCTGCCGCACGAATCCATATTTGGTTGTTTTTTTCACCGAAAAAAAACGAATCCATATTTGGTTGTTCCAAAAATATATATTTAATTGAATATATTTATTTTAATTATGTAACTAATATTTAATTAGTCTTTGACTCTTTGACTCTAGAGTGACTAAATTGTTTCAACCAAAACTGACGTTAAAACATTCGTAATGGTCTAGGATTACAAAAATCTTCACAACAGTTAATAGGTTCGCAAAGAGATTCTAAGTCCATAGAATACACAAAGCATATACCTAATCCCGTAAGTCCTACGCATTCAATGACGACAGGTAACTTTTTTTTCCTTCTTTACTTATGTATTGATTTAAAAATTAATGAAAAATAAAATGATCTTTAACCAAAAAAGGAAATGTTGAACTAAAGATTCCTTGCACGTATATAGAATTCATTATAAAACACATAATTCTTACAAATGTACACAACAATATAGGCTCGGGAAATTCCTTGAAAAAATATTTTTGTTTTTATTGCAATTCGATCATTCTTTTCAGTACTGTTTACAACTCAGATTACAAAAAAATCCGGCTTTTCATAAGTTCAGAAGATTAGTGTGGATTTCAATCAATAATCCACCTAAACTTTTTCAAAAACAGAACAAAGAGAATGTGCCGAACAAATATAGCGCTGAAAAAAATTCCTAAATAAAGATTCAATAACAAGTCGTAATTTAATTTCGTTGTAACTTTTTAAACGAGCAATACAAAGTTTTTCCACTCCTATACTAGTAGAACAAACAAAAAATTTTGACTGGTCTTCCCAATCAGTTAGGGCTGAGAGAAATATCAATTAGATACTACTTCTAATCTGGTATCCGATAGTTCGATCCAATCTCCATTTCGATTCAATCGAAAAAACTGGATAGCCATAATTTGATGAAGCAAAACAAATATTAAAACTATGATTATGAACTATATATATATATATATGTGGGTATATTTTAATATTATCCCCTTAATATATCATACTTTATATCTGTGAAGGTCAAATCAATGTTTATATGTCTGATTATGTTTGTCTTTCTTTTACCTAATATATGAGATGTATTTTTTGCCTTAGTCTTTTTATTTCGGGATGGGATTCTGATTTGCCCAAATTGGAATATTAGATTTTGTTCCAACTACAGTTGATGTTACATGAGTTTTGATTCCGAACCTACCTTTTTTTCTTGTATCATAGTACAGCATATACAACAATGTCATTTTTTTTGTCAGTGTCACTTGTTAACCGTAATACAAAGGATTTTGGGTAAGTCACAAAATACTTTGGAAAATTTCGTGTTATTGTTGTTTTATATATGATCAGAAAACCAGCCTTAAAATACTCATGGTGAGTTAATAAACGTAAATCATTCCTTCCCAAATAAAATGCCTTCGACTTTGAGTCGAACTCAACATCACTAAAACTGAACTAACACTCTTTTAACTGGTTAATCAACCTAACTAGATATTTAGCAAAAAAAATTAACCTAACTAGATTTTAGTGAATATCGCTATAAATGAACAATCCAGAAATTCGTTTCGATTTTAAATTTTTTATTTAAATAAGTTTTTGATTTGATGCACCTTAAAGTAGGAGTTATAGAGGACATTTGGTTTGGTTCAAATGTAACTGTATATTCTGAAAGGATTTGGAGAAATGATAAAAGTTGAGATTCTTAATTTTAACATGATCTATTTATTTACAGACTTAAAAAAAAATAACCATCGTTTGGCAAATTTCCCCAACCTTAGAAAATCCCAGCCTTTCAGAATTCGGAGAGGGAAGTACTATTTTATTTTTATGTGGTAGTGACAGTGCACCCAAAATTAGATTTGAAATTGATTATCATTAAAGTGTATATATATGCGTTCTCGGATCTGAAATGAGTCTCTAAGGATGAAGAAGAGATTTTAATTTACAAATACAAGTGCTAAATGTCAACACATAACTTTATCTCCTTTGGACACGGAATACGACTATCTTTTTGGATAATGTTGTATATTTTGTCGAACTTAACCGATTTGAGACTAATTGTGCAGAGTTGGTGAAAATGACATTTATATATAACGAAACAGATTGCTGTTTATTATTAAAAGACAATAGTGATCTATATGAAGTACTAAAAAAGCAATAGCTTCGAGGGTTTGGTGTTTAGTTAAATGGTCAAATCTTATTTGGTAACTTTTAGTAATGTGATAGTCAAATGTGTTTTTTCTCAAAAATGTATATCAAATTGATTGCAAAAACATTATTCTAAACATGACTCAGATTTCACAATTTTGATGGATGTGGAGATGTCATAAAAAGTTCGTTTTAGATATTTACCCTTAGATTATAATATAGGCTTAATAATCTTGGTCTAACAATGCCATTTTTCTATAATTTTTCCTTTAAAATAAATTCTTTCGAAAAGCAAATTAAAGAAATGGTATGTTTTCGACCTTTTCAATTACTGACCAATAATAATATTAAAAAACAAAACCACCTCAATTTGTAGAAATGTCTTCAGCCATCCTCTATCCAAGATCCCAAGTGTTAAGATACTTTAACACCAAAACATAAATCATAATATATATTGTGCATATACTTAATTTCATTTTTCCCTTAAACGGGCATTGTTTACAAACACAATTTGATCAGAGATGATACAAACAGGCATCAAAGATTACAACATTTTGAAATTCATGTGAACTAATTAGGATTAGAGAAAGAGCATGTGAAGCAACAATATAATGTCACCATTGTATGAATCAATACCACGTGAAGATGAAGCTTTCATAATCCGAGGAGCTGCAGTGTAATTGAGGATATGAATTTCCATCTGATCCATAGCCACTAACTTGGCCCAAATGATAAGTTGGCTTTCCTTGACAAGAGAAGATACCGGCCTGATTACCAAAGTATTAAGTTGCGTCCTTTCCACACAAAAATATAAGAAGCCACAAAATGTAAAATAATCTTCCAGATGGTGCTGAGTTTAGCATTCCTCGAAGGAGACCAAACCCAAGTGACTATGGCATCAAAAAGAAAGGAGGCGAAAGAACCTGATGGGTGAAGAATGATGAGCAGACCTCAAAAGAGTAAGAGCAATATATAAGAAACAAAAGGACACTTACATTCTAGTGATGCGTTCATTTGGAACATCCAAAACCTTATCCTCTCAATCTATCTCGAGAAGATAACCTATCTCGCATGGTTATCCAGAAAAAAAAATGCACTCTTAGGGATTCTGTCTTTGAACCAAACACTGATGTCCCATGACACATCAAAATGACGGAGGATGAATTGAAATCCATGTCTTGTGAGCTGGAAATATTCCAGCTAGATCATGAATCGAATTCCTCCGTAGTAAAAAATCAGGCTGAGATGAGGTGATATCAGGCGTGACTATGGATTGGTAGACATTCTCGAAGAAAGACCATGATAGGATGTCTTCCATTCGACAAAAAAAAAAGACATTGTTGGGTCTTTTTAGAATGGTTTGCCTTATTTGTAAATTCATGTTGTTTGTTTAGACTTTAGATTAGCAAAATACTTGGGCCTGGTCCAACTTGGTTTTCTATTCCACGTCATTATATGATTTGGTAAAGTGTGTACAATACAATGCCTATAAAAATTACTTTACTGTTTTCTTACTAACGCTTTTTTAGCCAATCGGGCTGCACTTCAGTTAACTTGAGTTGTCACACGGCCATAGACCCAATTGGTTAAGTAGCTCATCACACTCAAAATACGAAGTTACATCGAATCTCCCATAACATAACATGTATATTTATTGATCTGAATTCTGAAATTCTTTATGTTTTTTTTTATTATTTTCTCTTCTTTTTCTGCTTAAAGGTTAAATCCCTTATGTTTTAAATCAGTACAGTATCATGCATGTACTTAGAAGACGAAAATTTTCCAATCTAAAAGACAAGAATTCACAGATAAAAAACTAAAATGAAGGATAAATATCTTAAAAAGAAAATTGATATGACTAGAAAATTATAAAAAATATGACTATTAAAAATTAAAAATACAAATAATGTGACCACGTACCATGAACGTGTAGCTATCGCCTTACGCCTAACACCTTAGTCAAAATTGAATGTTTACTGGACTTCGTTTTCTTGCGTTTTTGATTTGACTAATATCCTATTTTATATAATACAGTTATTGAAGGAGAATGTTTAAGATAAATAAGAGATCATTTATGGAAAGTAATAAGTTTAGCAGAACTTGTTAATTTTTATTGATCAATTTCGAAAAATAAATTGTAAGTTATGGAAAATGTTTAGCATGTAAAGTGGAAATTCTATAAATTAATATTTGATAAATTAATAAATTTGATTAGACAATAATTTTTTAAAAACTAAATTATGTTTGGACCTAATTAATCTTTTATAGATCAATAACTTTTTTTTATCAATTAATAATTCTCTAAATTATTAATAAAATAAAACAATTTTAATGTTATTAATTTATAGAGCTGGGGTTTTTGTTTTTGTAAATGAATGTGGAAATCAATGTATTCGTCGTTTTCGTACATATACGAAGCTTGAAATAAAGCCAAAAAAGGTTATTTGAACACGTGCGGGATATCAAATAAATCAGTTCGTGACTTATTTTGGAAAGCATTAAGAAAGAATAAAAAAATGTGTACCATCTAGGAGTCAGGATGCATGTGTAGTGTTTCTTACAATTTGAGTATCTAGATATATATATATAGTCACATTTGTACGTATTTGTTATATACTTATATATAATATATATATATATGTAGATATGTTTGTGTAATTGTGTTATCCTTTAACAAAATTTTGTTGTTATTGGTTTATACTTGTTCAATTAGTCATATTTTGTTACTTTTTAGTATAAAGAGATAAGATAAAAAAATATTATTCCAATAATTCAATTAGTAAAACTTCTATAAATTAATAATGTTGGGATCATGATATTTTATTAATTTATCGTTATATTAATTTATTTATAAATTAATAATTATTAATTTATAGAAAAAATTTACTTTTTACATATAATTTTCTAAAACTTTTTTTGGAATAATGTTATATTTTAAAATTTTAACAAATCTCATAATATAAATTATAATTAAAAATCATAACTATCATAATAAAATAGTTTTAAACACCATATTATATTTTCCATATAAAAATATACATGTTTATAAGTTTAAAATTTATAAAAAACCATAGCTATTACCAGTATTATTGCTAATAAAATTGAAGATAACATTACAATGCATTTAAAAATATTTACAGGTAAAAAAATCAATTATCACATAAAAATTATTATAAATTTTGATTGTATATAGTAAAACAGCAATAAGATCTACTGATATAATAATTAGAGAGATGTAAACCAATGACATTTCAACTTTAAGTAAAAACAAACATATTAGTCATATTTTAGAATATTATATTTACATACATTTGCATAAATTTATATAATTATTAATTTATGTTTTTGTTGGGACCATATATTTACATAGGGTTTTTTAAAAAATTATTATCTTATTATTTTATCGAATTTGATGGATTTTTACATTGATCCGATTTGGAACAGCAAAATTTATTAATTTATAATAATTATTAATTTATCGAGTATTAATTTATAGAGGTTCTACTGTACCTTAAAAATGGCTGTGATCATGCGACTAAATTTAGATTTTCAATTCGGGTTTAATTTACTCTACAGATTAAATAAATAAAATTTATAATTTATGATAACTAGAAAAAAAAGGAATGTAAAGCAAAAAATTATGAAAAGTGAAAAAAATGGTACATGAAGTATCTTTTTTACTTTGAGAAAGACGTTGAAAGCAAATAAAGCCAAATAATCTTTTAAACATGAGACGGCTCGAAGTAATTTGTTGTTTGGGGTTCAAGGGGGCATGTATCTTGACTCCTTCCAACCAAACATTTTCTTTTACCTTGCATTTGGCCATTAAAGAAGGAAAAAAAAAATAATAATTATAATAACCTCCTAAGATTATTTTTTTGATAATATTTTTTTATAATAACCTCCTAAACCTTTTAAGATTATAGGATAATGATTTGATATTTAGGTAATCATATTTGCAACGCCAAAGCGTGAAAATTGTCTACTTGAGTTGATCCAGCAGTTATTTTGGATTTTGACTTAATCATTTTCACATCGATCTTGGTATTTCTATATCTGTGAAACGTTAAATGCTCACTCATATCATAACTCATAAGCTATTCTATAGATACAGTATACAGATTGTATAAACAGATATTTATGTAATTAGAAGATAGGAATATTTTATTTACATATAAAAAATATTGATTATTAATTTTCTGATTTCTATTTTCTATTTTATTTCGAGATTCAGTTTTGATTTGATAGATTATAATTGTATATGATAATAATTTTTTCTCGTATGTGATTTTAGCATTAAAAAAGTACTTCTAAAAAAGTCCTTTTTATTTAAACTAAAAAATCGATTTGGTAATTGTGGATACAAAAGTGCCAAAGTTTCGATGAATCATGTGACAGTAAGACGAAATGATGCACATAACCTAAAATGCTCTCATTCGTTTACATTCGAAGACTCAAAAGACATCTACCCATTCAGTATGAAGAGTATACCTACCTATACATACAAGTTTTTGGATAGATTAAGCAATCTACACCAATATTTTCATGTAAATCTCATGCAACTTAGACAAAAATAATAAAGAATATCAGATGTTGCTTTTAGGTTTTAGCGTTATACTATTTTGTTTTTTTTTAAACTGTGAGTCTCTTAAATCGAAATTCAAACTAATCTCACGAAGTTCATAAAAAGCCGGATTTTACTGTCATTAAAAGCTTACGGATAAAAATCATACTCCTAGTAAGAATACTTGTATCCTGACTAGACCCACATGGTGAGATTGTTAAAACGGTATAATACTATAATACTATTCATATATTACGACACATTAAATATCACATAAACTTTCCCAATTTGTTCATGTTATCGTGAAACGACACACATTATCACACGAAGAGAGAAAATATGAAAAATGTCTTTGTTCGAATCTTCGACGAAGCAGCATGTAGTTTTTTTCATCTGAATGTAACATTTTCAATTTGCTAAATTCCCATTTCATCCTTTATTACGTGGCATTTTTTAAACTAAGACAGTGAGAACTCATGTCTATTTTGGACATTTTCATATACCCACACACTTTTCTCTCCTTATATATAGAGGTCGTCAATCCACTAACGATAGTAACCGAAAACAGAGTTGTCAAAAAACAGAGTAATCAGAAAACAGAGTATACTCTCCAGTTTTGTACATGGATCCCAATTTTTGTCAGTCAACTTTCTCCGGCTTATCGCCGGAATATTCTCTCGAATATTCCCCGGAATCTTTCTCCTCCTCATCTTCCAACAACTACTCTCTCCCCTTCAACGAGAACGACTCAGAAGAAATGCTTCTCTACGGCCTAATCGAGCAATCCTCGCAGCAAAACCTCATCGAATCGGATCTTCCGATCAAATCCGAGGAAGAGACAGGGAGCTCGAGAAAGTCAGAGAAGTCATACAGAGGCGTGAGACGACGGCCATGGGGGAAATTCGCGGCGGAGATAAGAGATTCGACCCGAAACGGTATTCGGGTCTGGCTCGGAACGTTCGAAAGTGCAGAAGAAGCAGCTCTTGCCTACGATCAAGCTGCTTTCTCGATGAGAGGCACGTCGGCGATTCTTAACTTTCCGGCGGAGAGGGTTAAAGAGTCGCTCTTGGAGATTAAGTATAGCTACGAGGAAGGGTGTTCTCCGGTTGTGGCGTTGAAGAGGAAACACTCGATGAGACGGAGAATGGCCAATAGGAAGGCGAAAGAAACTGACTTTGATCACAGCTCCGTGGAATTAGATAATGTGGTTGTGTTTGAGGATTTGGGAGAACAGTACCTTGAGGAGCTTTTGCGTTCTTCTGAAAATAGTGGGGCCTGGTGAAGAAAGGAATTTGAGTAGGATTTGTGTTTATAGGTCCTTAAGTTGTTTAGATGTTTCTAAATTTTAGCCTCCAATATGTTTTTTTATTTTTGCAGTTTGGCGCCAATATTTTTATTTGTGACATTCGAGTATTTGATTTGTTGAGAAAAACGAAGAAACCAGTTTGTATTTATTTTTGTGATACTTGACTTTCTCAATCTTCACGTTAGTGTATAAGAGTCTTTGTTCTGTACTCAACTTAGTGAGACAAACTCTTAACTTGTATATATTGTGATAATTAATATACAGAAGGCAGTTTTTTCGTAATATACATAAATTTTCGGATTAAAATAAATATTTGGAAAAGGTTTACGAGGTAATTGAGTACTATATTTTAAGATTTTTCTTTGTTCCAAAATAAATAATATTTTAAAATAATTTAATATTATTACATTTTAAAAGAATAACTTAACAGCATATTTATTAGAAAATGAATAAAAGGTCAAATTAAAAATCAATAATGATTAAACAAACTAATATATCGAGTGATAGAGTATTATAAAGTTCATGCATAATAATTATAGAGCATTTGAGCAGTGAGTAAAAAAAGTTTTGGAAAGTGGAAAGACAAAAAGTAACTACATATTTATTTATTGTTTCTTAATAAAAGTGTAATTTTTAAAACATTATGTAATCTAGAACAGAGGGAGTATTTAGGAGCGACCTATATTTTTCTGTATTCTTTTTGTAATCAGGAGCTACCTAAATTTAATAATATAAATTAAAGTAATTGTTTTTTTGGAATAGAACCCAACTGAAAAAGATGGTCCGATGCTCTAATGAAAATCGTGACTTGACTTCCCTGCGATTAGCTGGCAACTTCTAGAGATTTGTGCTATTTTTCCGATTTATTATTTAAGGAAAGCTAGGGACTCTAATATCTTGTCAATTCACACAGGAAACTATGTGAGGATAAAATTTTGACAAAAGATGTTTTGAATATGGATAAACTTATTATTTATCTTTTTCCGATGGATAAAATGTTTTTTTATGCTGAATTTTATCAAAAAAATTCTCTTTCTATTAATGCCTAATATAGCCTTATTATATACATAGAGTATAAATATGAGAACAATATTTTGCAAAGATTTAATATAGAAAAAGGATAAGACATTTTTTTGGATAGTTAAGGGCCTTGAGGCCACCAGAACGCTCTGTCATAATTTTTGGGTTTGCATGCGTATAGTTTTATTTTGTACTTTATTATCAGAGTATTCTTTCTTACTCTCTCTGTTCAGAATTATTTGATGTTTTAGAAGGTTTTTTTTGTTCAGAATTATTTGATGTTCTCACTTTTCAATGCAAAATTTAATGAATTTTTATTGTTTTTGACCTTTTATATTTTGCAGATTGTTTTCTTATTGGCTGAATGATATTTAAATGAATTATAAATAATATTTTTAGTATAGGAAAAATAAAAATTAAATGAATCCTTAAACTGTGTGCAAAAACCTTAAACATCAAATAATTCTGAACAGAGGGAGTAATATTTAAACACTAGAACTAAAATCTTATTTCATCTGTTAAACAACAAATGTCGTTTTATCGCTTTTTGATGCTCAAAAAAATATTGTTATAGATTTCCAACACTTTCCACATTTAATTCATATTTTACCATATATTTATAATTGATAAAATTTAAATTTAAACATTTATATAATTATCTTCTATTAATGGTATATTAAATAGGGTATATTTCTGTATGTAAAAGAACTTAATTTTTCTAAATTATGTTCACATGATACGCTTTACGAAACAGATAGAGAAATAGTACTCTGACTATATTGAATAATATTAATGTAAATTTTCGGATGAATACTTTTAGCAAAAAAAAAGATGAATAAAAGTTAATAATATTGATTTGCAGTGTTTTTTCAGGTGGCAGTAGATTATTTTAGTCGAGAATGCATTTAATAAATAAAAAAAACCTGAAGTAATTCTGTTGTGAATTTGCAAGAAAACAAATAAAAAACATTATAAGCATTATAAAGGATTAAAGGGTCTGCAAAATTTATTTCAGCACGTGTTTTTTTGTACGACGGCGATCGCAGAACAAAACAGAAGAAGATAGTTTGTTTTTAGTATGGTGGGCCAAATGGTCAATATAGATTGTTGGACGACATACCAAAAAAGTATACTGGGTTTCCAAGTATATTTTAGAAATAAAGTAATAAACTAATGAGAAAGGCATAATACATATGTAAATACTCTGAACTATTACTGTGCATCAACTAAAATGCTGATGTGGTTTGATAGCTTATCCACATAATATGGTTAACTGAATTTGGTCTACTAAGTCCCATTTGATTGAGAAACAAACAATAGCATTAAATCACAAATATACTTAAGTACTCCACAGAACACGAACTTGGTCCAATTCTTTCCATTTACCAATTAACAGTGACAAACTTATTGTATGATTTATGATATAATTATAGTAAAAGCTCGTTTGAATTTGTGATTTAAAATGATTATATAGGTCCTACAATCAATCAAATATATTCGGCTTTAACCAACTGTACATACTTAAAATGTTTATTAACTCGTCACAACTCACTCGTCAGGCATTATCACACTTAACAACACCAACTTAAAATTATTGTATCAAATTCTAAGAAATTAGATGTTTGGAGGAACTCGAAATTTTTTAAAAAGAAAGTTGGGCAGAAAATAATCAATGTGTATATATTCTCATGAGATAAAAATATGAGACATGTGAACCAAAAAAAAGAGAATAGCGCTAAAAATTTTGAGACACTACAAAAATTGTCAAAATAAATATGGACTGGTTAGAGAAGATTCCTAACAAAATATTTTGGATACATTAATAGCGAAGAATGACGGTGGACCAAATTTCCTAGCACGGACTGACGACAACCATATTTGTTGCCAAACAACAACATCAAACTGTTTGGAAAAGCGATGAAAATTTGGCTGACAAATTTTTTCTGATAATGATTTATGATAGTTTCGAATAGTAGCCGAAAACACACACAAATCTTGAAAACATAAATATATATAACATTTTTTTACGCATTTTGTTGTTGTTGATGAATAACAATATACAGTGCCATGCTTAGATCTATGATGGTTTTAGGCAAACTAAAAAAATGTGGTTTTTATAAAAAAAAAATTAGTGTAAAATATCGTCTCAAATGTACACAAAATAATAATAATAATAACTAAAACTATAAAATTTCTAAAACATATTTTTTTCTTTTTTTCCAGAAAATTATTTACCAAATTCACATAATCGACTTATTTTAGCCACAAATCAGACGGCTATGTAAGTGTAACTGGAACTGGTTGACAATCCGGTCGAATTTTTAGAAACCAAAGAAAAAAAACCAATTAAAATTTTGCAAATCGGTGGTTAAACCGATAGATCCGGTCAAACCCAAAATTTGTTTGAAAGTTAGTTTTTAAGCTCAAAAAATTTTAATTGATGTTGCTACTTATATTGAAGAAAAATTATAAGTCTCCTCATTTAGATATCGATGTGAGATTTTTTTTTTTAATTATGCGTGTTTCAAGTTTTTAATTAATTTTTTTTTTACTTTTCTTTGTTATTTGTGAATATCCATAATAATAAATATCAATAATAATAATACTAGTACAATATATGGGCTTATCTCAAAGAAATAATCTAAAAATATTTACCTCATTAACTATATATATGAACTACTTAATAAAATTGTGGCCCTAATTATTTTTCAATTTTTGGTGGCCTTAAGCTAATGCCTAACATACAAGACATGAGACACGACATGAGACACGACTCTGACAATATATATTAGGTCCGATAAACAACTTAAAATCCGTGTAGACTGATCCGAAAAAACATGAAACCATACCAGATTTGGTTTGAAACATATGTTTTTGTAAAAGTTTGGAACCCCATTTTTTTGTTTGTTCGAATAAACTTGTCTTAACACTATGTATTTAGGTAAACCAAAATTAATCAAAAATCGAATTATTGCATTAGTTGATTTCTACGATCAAACTAGAACCAATTCGTGATAATAATTTATTAGTTGAAACATTCATCATGTTAGCTAGAGATTTTTCATTTGAAACCTTCGCATGGTTAACCACCATAAGAATATACTATTTTACTCCTATTCGTAACCAAAAAAACGAGTTAAGTTAATAAACAAAAAAAGACCATTAGGGATTTTGGGCCGTCGGGTCGGGTTTTCGTCTAACCAGGCCCATTAGGGGTTTTGAAATGGGCTACTTTATCTTGTTTTTTTCTTCCCTTATGGGCTTTTAGATTTAATTTCTAAGGCTGCTTTTCAACTTTGTAATTGAAAAAAAGAAACATAAATATGAAAATCTTTTATCAAAAAAAAAGAACAAAATGAAGGAATTTTGAACTTGATTTTAGTTTTTCTCTTCACAGCGATTTAGGGAAAAATATTGGGTTATGGGTCGAGGATCTCGCCGGTGGATTTTCTGCAAGGTTCGTGTAACACTTATAGATTGTGGTTTAAGCCTGCTTCAAAGTTCATCTCCTTATTAAGTCTGTCCATTTTGGTTATGTTATCTTCTTAGAGAATCTATAGGCTTAATCTTGTGAGAGTTTAGTCTTTCCCGGTATAGAGATTAAAGTTAGTTTCGATGGCACTACAGGCACTATATGATCTTTTTTCTATGAATGAAATTCAGTTGTCGACAAAAGAAGAATTAACTAACAAACATGTTGCTGTCATGCAATATGCTAACAGTTGCATCTAAAATTGAGAAGTTATATCTATAATATGTTATATGTTAATAGTCACCGTTAAGTACTAGTTGTTGTCTCTTTTTTTTTTTTTTTTTTTTTATTATAAGAGAAAGGACCTTGAAACGAAAAGACTGTCCCAAAATAACCTAAGATATCAGAACAAAATAACTAAAGGTATAAGATACTGTCACAAAATAACTAAAACTAACTTGGACTTTGATTCTTCGGAAGAACCATCAAAGCCCTGATTCTTCTTCATTAGGTTTGTGTGGACGACCTGAGAAGAGAAGAAGCAAATGTCAACATGAAAAGAAAACAAATCAAAGTTAAATAAAATAAAATTTAAGAACTGCTTACCGTATGCAAGATAAACCTGATTCTTCAAAGCATTAACCTGATACTCCAAAGCAGCCTGTTTCTTCAAAAAAAGATCAACCTGATTCTTCAAAGCATCAAACTGATATTTCATTAC